GACTCAGGCAATCCACTCACCTCAGCCTCCCAAAGGCACGGGATTACAGGCTGAGCCACTGAGCCTGGCTTATATTCTTACTTTTTAAACTCAAAATAAAATAACTTATTTCAAGAATTCTCTGCTGGGAACAGTGGCTCAAGCCTGTAATCCCAACACTTTGGGAGGCCAAAGCGAGAGGATTGCCTGAGCTCAGGGTTCTAGACTAGTCTGGTGAGATATCATCTCTATGATAAATCAAAAAATTAGATGGGCGTGGCAGTGTGTGCCTATAGTTCCAGCTATTTGGAAGGCTGAGGCAGAAGGATATCCTGAACCCAGCAGGTCGATGCTGGGGTTGCTATGAGTATGCCACTGCACTCCAGCCTGGGTGACAGAGAGAGACTACAGCTCAAAAAAGAAAGAAAAAAAAAAAGAATTATCTTTGCTTCTTCAGATCATATCACACTATCCACTCAGATTTTCAAGCAAGAAAATAATTGTCTTAAAACTCAAATCATAAGCCGGGCTCGGTGGCTTAGCCTGTAATCCCGCACCTTTAGGAGGCTGAGGTGAGTGGACTGCCTGAGCTCGCGGTTTCGAGACCCGCCTGGGCAGCGAGACCTCATCTCTACAATAAATCAAAAAATTAGCTGGGAGCGGTAGCACGCGCCTGTAATTCCGGCTACTCGAAAGGCTGAGGCGGAAGGATCGCGGAATCCAGCAGGTCGAGGTTGTGGTGGCCAGGAGTGGCCACTGCACTCCAGTCTGGGCAACAGAGTGAGACTCCAACTCAAAAAAAAAAAAAACTCAAATCACACCAGGCTTGGTGGCTCAGCCTGTAATCTCAGAGCTTTGGGAGGCTGAGGCGAGTGGATTGCCTGAGCCCATAGGTTCGAGACCAGCCTGGGCAACTTGGTGAGACATCGTCTCTACAATAAATCAAAAAATTAAGCAGGGTATGGTAGCGCACGCCTGTAGTTCCGGCTACTTGGAAGGCTGAGGCGGAAGGATTGCCAGAGCCCAGGGAGCCGATGTCAGGGTGGAGGTGCGTGTGCCACTGCACTTCAGCCTGGCCAACGGAGTAAGACTACAATTCAAAAACAAAACAAAACAAAAACTCAAATCATAAAATCCAATTCTTAAATACTGGGCAAACTTGAATTAGATGGCAGTGAGAATTTATTAAGGGAGGCAGCTCAGGACAGCAGCTGGTTTCACCCACAATTTACAAGGTACTCAGCAGGTAAAATATGCTCCCAAGCTTGGGGACCACTCTCAATTCTGTGTGCTCCAACAACCCTGCTGTTCCATTCTCACAGGATGGAAACTCTCTATTCTGTAGCATCTCAGTTCTGATCAGTGAGCAACCTCACCTGGAGTCAGTTTAATGTTCTGACTTTTGATATCTTTTTTTCTCCTACTTTTTGTGTGTGTGTATGTATGTGTGTTGGAGTTTCACTCTTGTTGCCCAGGCTGGAGTGCAGTGGCATGCTCACAGTCACTGCAGCCTCGACCTGCTGGGCTTAGGTGATCCTTCCACCTCAGCCTTCTAAGTAGCTGGAACTATAGACGCATGCCACCACACCTGGCTAGTGTTTTGTGTGTGAGCCACCAAGTGGCTCAGGGTGGTCTCGAACCCCCAGGCTCAGGTAATCCTCTTGCCTCGGCCTCCCAAAGTGCTGGGATTACAGGCTGACTCACCACCCCCAGCCTCCTGACAACACTTGTAACAGCAAATATGTAAAGTTTGCTGAACACCAACCTATTCTTCAACATGAACTAGTTGTTTAATATTCTGATAGACCTACTCAGAGTACTCAGAACAGTCAGCTAAACACTTTATTTAAATTTACCAGTTTGGCCGGGCTCGGTGGCTCAGTCTGTAATCCCCTGCTTTGGGAGGCCGAAATGAATGGATTGCCTGAGCCCACAGGTTTGAGACCCACCTGGGCAACTTGGCAAGACCTCATCTCTACAATAAATCAAAAAATTAGCCGGGTGTGGTAGCGCGCGCCTGTATTTCCAGCTACTTGGAAGGCTGAGGGGGAAGGATCGCCTGAGCCCAGCAGGTCGAGGCTGCAATGGTCGGGAGCGTGCCACTGCACTCCAGACTGGGCGACAGAGCAAGACTCCAACTCAAATAATAATAATAAATAACAACAATAATAAATAAATTTACCAGTTTACTATAAGGGATACAACTCATGAACAGCCCAGTGAAAGAGATGTAAAATGCAAGAGAAAGTGGCAGGAGAAGATTGGGTATGTAGATGATCCTGGTGAATAATCCCCCCTTTGCAACAGCAGCTTCCTGTAGAGAAACACTTTCCATTAAGACTTTGAAGATGCTCTCTCACAGATCACAAAGCCTGACACAGACTCTGCAAAGATTCATTTTTTGCCTCACAAGCAATTACATGAACATTTGGTCTTCAGTGATCAGAACAAAATATTTGTTAATAAAACGTTGCTTAAGTTTCTCTTTTCCCAGGCCCTTGAACTCTGACCCAATGCAGCAAGAGCCAACATGCATCCCTCTTTATGATCCTCCTAAGAACAGGCTGACTTCAGGGTGAAATATCTTCTGATCTGGGATCTGATTTTGCATTCTCCATCCTGGCCTCTCCTCCTAATTTCTTTCAAATCTTGTTTGTCTCTCCCTATGACAGGAAGTCCTTGTCTATCTAACCTTTGAGATACTCGAAGATGTGCTTGGTGCTATCCCTCTATGGCAATATTCCTTTAGAATAGTTATGTTTAACCTAAACTTAAACTTACTCTATTTGAGAATCTCTAGAAACAGCCCTAGGACAATAACAAGTATGTCCTCAGAAAATACATGGTACCCTCACTTCCATCACAACCCTAACCACATCTGCTGGGGAATCCCCAGCTTTCCAAGGCTCTGTAGCATCTAAACATAAAGGCTCCTTCCATGGCTAGTGTAAAAGACTGGGGTGGACCGGATGCAGTGGCTCACACCTATATCAGCACTTTGGGAAGTGGAGGCGATAGGACTGCCTGAGTCCAGGGGTTCTAAACCAGTCTGGGCAACTTGGGTAGACCTCACCTCATCTCTACAATAAACTAAAAAATTAGCCAGGTATGGTGGCATGTACATGTAGTTTCAGCTACTTGGAAGGCTGAGGCAAATAGATATCCTGAGCCCAGTAGGTGAAGGCTACGGTGGTCATGAGTGTGCCACTGCACTCAAGCCTGGACAACAGAGTGAAACTCTGACACACGCAAAAAAGACTGGGGCACCTGCAGGGGAGCCTCCTCAATAAGAACTCACTGGGCCTTCCAAGACCTCCTTTTGCTGGATCAGGATAGACCTTTTTTGGAGTCTCTAGGTCTATATCTGTATCCCATTTAAGGTTATTTACTTAGTTTTCAACGAGAAAAATACTATAGGGTGTAGGGCTGGGGGCGGCGGGGGGAGAGGGAGAGAGGGAGAGAGAGAGAGAGAGAGACAGACAGACTAGACACTCCAACAGACATGGCCACCGTAGGGATCTTGGGTCACGCTCATGCAGTAGTAAAACACAGAACCAGTTGGGCACAGTGGCTCAAGCCTATAATCCCAGCACTTTGGGTGGCTGAGGTGAGAGGACTGCCTGAGCCCATGGGTTAGAGACCAGCCTGAGCAACTTGGTGAGACCTTGTCGCTATAATAAATTTAAAACAAAAAATTAGCTGGGCATGGTGGTGCATGCCTGTAGTTCCAGCAACTTGAAAGGCTGAAGCAGATGGATCACCTGAGCTCAACAGGTGGAGGCTGCGGTGGCCGTGAGCATGCCACTGCACTCCATCCTGGGCAACAGAGTGCAACTCCAACTCAAAAAACAAAAGAAAAAAATACAGAACCAAGAAAAGAAAGGATAACTGAGGACACCTCTCCCTGTAAAGGTTCCAAAGGCAAACCTCAACACGAAGACATTCTGGTAAGGCATGTGCCCAGGGAAGAAAAGGAGGAGAGACAGAGAGTTTTTTACAAGAGTGTCAAGTGATTATTCTCTGCAGTCCTCTCAGGTGAAATCTTCAGAAAGAAAAAAGAATTATTTTAAATAAAACCACCCAATGCTTTGTGGAACAAAAACAAAACAAACCAAAATACTGTGTTTTTTTGGAAACCAAATAACAGGTAAAATGTTGAAAATGTGATTTTGACAGAGGTATTTGGCAGCTGGGAATGTGGGAAAGGGATTGGAAATTCAGGATTTACTAGAGGTCCTAACACAGGTTGTGAAAACTGTGTGTATTTGAGTCCCTGGTTGTCACATATTTGAAAAATAGGTGAAGATCAGACATGGTGGCTCACACCTGTGATTCCAGCACTCTGGGAGGCCGAGGCAGAAGCATTATTTTAAGCCCAGGATTTCAAGACCAGCCTGGGCAACATGGCAAGACCTCGTCTCTACAAAAAAATAAAAAGGAAAAGGAAAATATAACTGGGTGTGCCACTCGGGAGGCTGAGGGAGAAGGATCGCCTGAGCCCAAGAGGTCAAGGCTGTGGTTAGCTGTGATGGTGCAGCTGTACTGCAGCCTGGAGTGAGCATGGAGCAAACAGAGTGAGACTCGGCCTCGAAAAGAAAAGGAAAAAGGAAAAAAACCTGTAGAGTGTTAAAATAGTTAAATAGCGAGAAATTAGACTGAAATAACTGTAGTACCCTGGCATTCTCCTAAGGAAACCTAACTAACTCAAATGAGTTTCCTGAAAATTACTAAGGATGAGAAAAACAAAAATTAGGCTTATCCAACCACGAATCGCCAATAAAGCGGATTCCATATTCAGGAACTATCCTCCTGGATAGACAAAATAAGACGACTACAGAACTGTAACCAACTAGTTTTTGAACGTGGTTTGTTTGCTTCATCCTGCGCCTTATAAAAAGCCTTTCCTTCAAGCCCTCTTTAACGTTTTAAAGGTGCCTCCGTTTAATTTTTAAAAGTAGAAAGAAGGTGGGGACCCACAGACTATAGTTTCTCCCACGCAGAAGCCGCGCACAGTAGATGCTCCCAGAGACCCTCTCGCCGCCCCGCACACGAGTGGGATTCTCCCGTCATCCCACACAATCTTGGAGACTCGGGGCTGCGGGCGCAGAGCGGCCCAGAGAGGGTTCCCGGCAAGGACCGGACAGGACCCCGGAAACAATATGAATAGGGAGGATCGCGCAAGGACGGGACAGGACCCCGGGGTCCTGCGCTAGAGGCTTCCGAGGGTCGAGCTCTAACTCCTGGGAGGCCTGGGTTCCGCCAGTTAGCTTCCGTCGGTTCCGCCACCCCTCCCCACTCGAGACGCCCGCCCCGCACTCACCATTTCCCGGCTTCGGGGTGTCCTGGCGTCCTCCTTACGGACCTGTAAGTCACAAGGCGACAGAGGCTGCGTCTGGTTCAACTGGGCCTCCTGGAGTAGAGGACACAAGGCAGTAGAGACTGGCCGAGCTCCAGCTGGCGCCGGGATCAAGGCCCAGATAGCGAAAGACGCCGCCTTCTCTCTCGAACGCCAGCCCCGCACTCACCATTTCCCGCTTCCAGGCATCCTGGGTCTTAACTGGGGTGTTCCCAGTACCTGCACATTACAGGGCAATAGAGGTTGCGGCAGAGAGACCTGGGCGTCCTGGAAACTAGGAGAAGGACCAGGGGAGACACCACCCCAGCTGGGAGGGTGTGCACAGAAACAAAGACGCGGCTAGATCCCGGAAGCCGCCCCTTCCTTTCCAGCTGCGCATCTGATTGGACAGTTCCCCAATTTAGCGCCTTTGATTGGACAGGGTTCTAGGTCCCGCCCCTTCAGGAGCTGAATGACAGCAGATGGAATCAGCCCTGAGCTTAAAGACGCCAGAGAGACAGGTTTTTGCCTGCACGCATCGCTGGTGGGGCTTACTCGCTGCACTGGGGCTTAGCGCCGCCTGGGGAATATTTGTATTTAACCTTGTACATAAGATTATGTCCATTTGTGAAATATATATACACAATATATAAAATGTTATTTACACATGGAAACAATATGAATATAATACTTATTTTAAAGATTCATTTTTTATAATCTTCCTGGCCCCTGGTCTTTTGAGGAGGCAGCCTGAGTTTTGAAAAGGAAAGGGAGGTGATCCTCCCAGGCATCAGTGTCCAATAAATATAAAATGTGGGGCACATGTGTCAATTTAAATTTTCTATTAGTAACAACAAAGAGAAACTGGTGAAACTGATTGTAATAGTGTATGTGACCCAATTATCCAAAATGTTATTTTAATATGTAATTAATGTAAAATTATTAATGAAATATTTTTTGGCACTATATGTTCGAAACTCTATATTTTAAGCTTCCAATACATCTCAGTGCAGAACAGCCATGTTTAGGACTGGATAAAGAAAATATGGTACATATACCATATGTATATGTATATGAATAGTATGCATCCATAAAGAAGAAAAAAACATATCTTTTGCAGCAACATGGTGCACAGAAACAAAGTGAATACTGCATGTTCTCACTCATAAGTGGGTCTTGATCACTGCTCACATGAGTACAAGACTAGGGTCAGCAGATCCTGGACACTGCTAAGGAGGGAGAGACAGAGGAGGGAAAGGGCACATGGTAACACACTGGGTACATGATTCACTATCAGAGGTAGAGCGGGCCAGCTAGAAGTCAACTGCACCACCTCTTGGGGCTCTGAGCAGTGCCAGGTGCTGGGAGCCTTTGGCTGGCGGGGTTAGAGGAGTTCGGGAGGAGTCACAGGCACCGGGCCACCACCACCTCTGATCCTGCAGCCTAGGTGACTAGTTGCCTCCTCCTCTTGCATTCCAGGTAGGCTGGGGTCGGGGCCCGGGGAGCAGGAGGATGCCAGCCCCACCCTGGATCCAGGCTTGTGCCTTGCACCCCTCGTGGCAATGATTGGTATGGCCCCTCCGGGCCAAGGTGCAAAGCGTGAGGACTGACCTGTGGGCATAGGAGGTCCGTGCAGGCATTGTGTGTTTTGGGGTCTCCCCAGCCTTTGGACATGCACAATAGGGATCATACCAGCATCTCCTTCCTAGAGTACCATCTGGTATGTATGAGATAAATCTTATAAAACATTAATTATAATGTTTACTTTTCTCTTAATATCCATTAACTTAAATGCTATTGAATAAACTTAATGATACTATTAATAAGTCAATGTCTTATACGATAAAGGAAGAAGAGACTAAAGAAAACAAATTACACACATGACAATATAAGGAGAAAATACTTTTCACAATTATCCTTTCTGTGGTACCACATATAGATACAACACACACTCAGAGTTGGAAGAATTACAAGAAGGGGTGAGAGGCAGCATATAATACAACTCAAACAGGCCTGGGTCCAGCAGTGTGATCTTGATAAAGTCACTTCCCTTCTGGGTCTCATTTTTCATTCTGCACCAGTAAGAGAGTGAGATTAAATGACATTCAGATATTGTCATCCTCTGACATTACACCTTCTTGTCCTTTCCATTATATGTAGAAACAGACCACGAGCCTCATCTTGGCCTATGTGGTGGACAGCCTCCACCAAGGCTCACAGCACTAAGTGGTCAGTGACTCACTTCTGACAAAGGAGCACATACAAAAATTCAGGGATCACTTCTATTTAAGTCAGTTTAGGCTGATATAGCAAAAACCCATTGACTGGAAATCTTCAGGTTGTATCCTCAGGTGATGAGGGGGAGGAAAAGAACTCCTTGAGTTTCCATTCTTAAGGCCACTAATCTATTCATGAGCGCTCCACTTAGAACATTGCAAGAATAGTGGCATGGCATGTTGCTCCCTACTTTGAATTAGGAAGACTTGATTCTTTCTTTTTCTTTTTTCTTTTTGTCAGGGTATTGCCCCGTTGCCCAGTTTAAAGTGCAGTGGCATGATCATTGCTCACCACAGCCTTAAACTCATGGGCTCAAGTGATTCTTCAACCTCAGCCTCCTTATTATCTGTGACTACAGATATGTGCCACCACATTGAGCTAATTTTTTGATTTTTTTAATAGAGGAGACGTCTCACTATTCTTCCCAGGCTGGTTTCACAAACTGCTGGGCTCAAGAAATCCTCCCTCCTTGGCCTCCCAGAGTGCTGGGATTATAGGTGTGAGCTGCTGTGCTGGCCTGAAATTTTACTTAACTTATTCTCTTCTCCCCTCCTCCACCTCTCTATCTAATTCTTTCATATTTCATTAATCTCCAATGTTTTGTGAATCTCTATATATCAGGGGTGCCAAAAATATACACATTTTTAAGAGATGTCATCCATGTATCACTTTTAGTTCACTGTGATCAGAAGTAACTGGACACTGGCTGAGCTCAGTGGCTCAGCTTGTAATCCCAGCACTTTGGGAGGCTGAAGCAAGTGGATTGCCCGAGCCCGAGGGTTCGAGACCAGTCCCGGCAACTTGGCGAGACTTTACCTCTACAATAAATAAAAAATTAGCAGGGCATGGTAGTGTGCGCCTGTAGTTCCAACTACTTGGAAGGCTGAGGCAGAAGGATCACCGGAGACAGCAGGTTGATTCACCTGATTTGGCTATGGACTTTCATGATATACAGATACCACCCAAGAGTGAACAGCTCAGTACTATAGTCCATCTCTGAAAGACAGTGATGAAATCTGACAGTCTTCTCAGTGGCAGACCTTCCAACAGTGCACCAGGTTGTTGACTTTGCATGGAAAAAGAAGAGGCCAAAATGTGCAATTAGATACCAATTCATTGGTTCCCTGTGAATACTTAACAGAATAAACTCAAAAAAAAAAGGAGGAGGTTAATAATCAAGTGGAGCCGGGCTCGGTGGCTCAGCTTGTAATCCTGCGCCTTGGGTGGCTGAGATGAGTGGATTGCCTGAGCCCGCGGGTTCGAGACCCGCCTGGGCAACTTGGTGAGACCTCATCTCTACAATAAATCAAAAAAATTAGCCGGGTGTGGTAGCGCGCGCCTGTAGTTCCAGCTACTTGGAAGGCTGAGGCAGAAGGATCGCCAGAGCCCAGTAGGTCGAGGCTGCGGAGGCCAGGAGCGGCCACTGCACTCCAGTCTGGGCGACAGAGTGAGACTCCAACTAAAAAAATAATAATAATAAATAATAATAATAATCAAGTGGATATAATTGGCTGGGTGCAGTGGCTCACGCCTGTAATCCCGGCACTTTGGGAGGCAGTGGTGAGAGGATTGCCTGAATTCAGGGGTTCGAGGCCATCCTGGGCAACATGGCAAGACTTCATTTCTACAAATAAAAAAAAAGTTAGCTGAGTTTGGTGGTGCACGTAGTTCAAACTACTTGGAAGGCTGAGCTAAAAGTACCACCTGAGCCCAGCAGACAGAGGCTGCAGTTGCCATGATCGCGCACTCCAGCCTTGGTGACAGAGTGAGACTCCCACGTAAAACAAAAAAAAGAGAGAGAGAAAATGAGCCAGAGTTACATCTCTAGATGAAAAATATATTGGTTCTCAAATCCAATGAACTCCACTAGGTGTTGTACCTCTTTGCTAGTTGTAGAATAAGACAGATGTAACGATCAATTTGTTTACCTTAGAAGGATATATCAACGTACTCCACAGTCCTGGATCCCTGAAAATCCCAGAGGTAGAAGGCCCATGAATTTTTGTTGGGAGTTATTTTCCTCTCTCTGACATGTGAATGTCTTACTAATAAGTCTAGAATAGTTGCTAATCTTTGCTCACTAGGTCCAAACAGCATGATGCCAACAATGTCATGAACCACTGTGATGTCTTGGGAAAGGAAAAGATAATGTCCCTGTGAACTAAATCATGACCTAGTCCTAGAAAGTTAATATATCCTGAGGTAAGAAAGGGAGGTGTGTGACTGGCTTTGCCAGCTGAAAGCAAATTACGTGTGGTGGGCCTTGTGGAGCAAGAAGCATTGGCTAGATCAACAGCAAAATGCCAGGTCCCACGGAATGTGTTGATTTACTCATGCAATGAAACCACATCTGGTAAAGCACCTGCAATTGGAGTTCCCACATAGTATAGCCTACTGTCACCCACTGTCATTATTCAAGATCTGTCCATCACTTGCATAGTCCCAATAGGCTAGTTCAATGTAGATGTGGTGGAAGTCCCCACTCCTGCATCCTTCAAGTCACTGATGGTGGCAATAATTTCTCACATCCCCCAACAATGTAATATTTCTTTTGTTTTACTATGTTCCTGTGTCAGGGCAGTTCTACTGACTTCCACTTGTCCTTTCTCATGGTAACTGTTCCCAATACACAACTCAGAGAACCAAATAGGAAGGAAAAAAACCAAAGGATTAGAGGGAAGAAAGGAATTCAGGAAGAAAGCTAGAGAATGAGGGAGGAAAGAGCAGGTCTTTTTGAAAAAAGAATTTTTTTTTTTTGAGTTGGAGTCTCACTCTGTCGCCCAGACTGGAGTGCAGTGGCCGCTCCCGGCCACCGCAGCCTCGACCTGCTGGGCTCTGGCGATCCTTCCGCCTCAGCCTTCCAACTGTATCTGAAATTACAGGGATGCGCTACCATGCCT